GCATATTTTAAGCAACGTGACTGAGCCACTACGTGCTCGCATCGGGTATTTAAGCACTACCTGTTGTTAACAAGTGCTTATTCATCGTACATATGTAACTTGCATGAAAGACTTGGCAGCTGTTTTATGGGCTCAAACCTGCAGCCTCAGGTTTACAAGACTGCAGCACTGACTCCGAGCCACCGCTGCTACACCAGGCTATACATAACAAGGCTGACTATAAAATAAAGCGCAGCTTGATCCTGTAAAGGGGCAAGTGGAGCTGCTGCCTCTGTGCGTACAGAGTCACAGAGATCCATGCAGTGTATACAGGACTAGATGCATGCATACGTACGACAAGTGCACGGTGAAACTGAACAATAAACCTTATTAGTACAGAACATCCACTGCTGTGGACAACATAGTGGGGATGCATGATACCCAGTACCAGTATCAAGTGAGTCCAGTCAGGTCATGTGTGTGTGTACTTGTACCCATAAACGTGTTCTGATATCAGAGTATTGATACCACTTTAAGGCAGCGTGACGTTCACCTCTCAGTTGAACATTAAGGTGGAAGAGGAGAAGCAATGGAGGAGTGTGTTTCTGTTGGCTGTCCTGATCCACACTTCTGACCAACTGTTGGCTGTCGTGCTCCATCAAGCTGTTTGTTAACTACCAACAAACACGGCCAGAGGGAGAAGAAAAAGAAGTAGACGTGCAGAGATCTGTAAGTGAACAGCAAAAGTGAACTGAAAGTGAAAGATTGTCACTGAAAGTGACAAAAGTTAAAGTGCCGCAAATATGGCAAGAGGAGCACAAGTGAACACCTTCAACACCAGCAACTTGATAAACATAAAAAATAAAAAATAAAACGCAGAGTTCAAAGGGTGTGCTGACTGCAGCAGGAAAAGTGACTGAGCAGAAAAGGATTCTGGGAATCCTAGGATCTGTGCACGAACTTCTCGACTGTTTCAGTGGTCACCGATGGGGGCTTTCAGAAGAGACTTGTGCTGTCCTGGCTCCATTTGATGACCGCAGAAAGTTCTTTGCAAGAGGATGAACGTCTCCATCCTCCTCATCGCTGAGGTGAGAAAGGACTTTACTGAAAAGAAAGAGAGCGATGTTATGAACCCAGGAAAGACAAGCTGGTGAGCCGTCCAGCTGCCGCCATCATTCTGCAGCTCTCTGAGGAGAAGAGACCAATTCAGGAGGGCGGAAACAGCCCAAGCTGACTGACTACCAGAGTCCTCCACCATGAGTCATTGATGAGCTGCTTAAAGAGAAGCAGCTGCTGACACCGTCTCCAAGGGAGGCGCTAAGCTAATGCTAGGCTAACGCTTCAAATCAGACACAGGTTACTCATCCCACTGCCAGCTGGAGGACTTCTAATGAGGCGACTCATATTGTTACTATATTATTTATATTTCAGGAGCCGTGATGAACAGTCATCAGAAATACAAAATACATTTTAACACAAACAATTGGAACAGCTGAAATGAGTAGTTAAAGGTTCTACTAATTATAAGATGTATAATGGCATATAGTATTAGTACTCATATCAGTGCTCAGTATTGGTAGATACTCCAATATCTTTCATTAAAGTTTAATTGGTTAACTGGACCTAAAAGAGTCTAAAAGATTGGATTCAGGTCTCTCTTGTAAATGAGTCCCCGAGGCTCATTGGGATTAACCTGTATAAATAAAGGTTGAATGAAAAAAGGTTCTGCTCGGCACAAACAGAAAATAACTCCAGTATGAGAAAGGTAATAGAAGGTGAGATTTGTCATGGTCGCAGGGGGAGTTTAAATGATTACCAGTGGCACTAGTTTTATTCTCTTGTTCTGTTTTAACAGCATCACTGCATCACAAACAGCAAAACACTGGTGTGTGCAGGTCGGAGGGTAGCTGTACTTTAACTAAAGTTCTACTTGCTTTGGAGTCAGCTCAAACCACTCCGTGCATTCTTTTCTCACCAATTAAATATTCAAACACTTCTTCTAGTTAACCCTAACCTTGAAGAATGCTGCCTAATAATAATTTACTTAGTCTACAGTAACTTCCTATCAAGGCTGACAGCCAGAACAGAAACTAAAACAACTTCATGAGCTACATTTTCTGTGTGGGGGCGTTTCATGAACTTTGATCCACATTTATAAAAGCTTTTCTGTGACAAGAAGGTTATTGCTTGTCTGACAGATGACACGTCAGGGCACTTCAAATCCTAAAATCTATGCTGTTCTCTTTGAAGCAGTGTTCTTATCAGAGACATCAGGAGGTCCTGTCGTCAAGGCGGAGGCTTTGTTTACCACGAAAGGAGGCCAGAAAGAACATTGCAGTCTCCATCCTGAGTGAAACAACATGGCCGCTCCTGTAAATGGGACATTATGGCTTCTGTTTTGTATAAAGTATGCTTCGACACGGCGTCGATCGTTATTTAAAGTCTTTGGTTGGTGGCTCTTTGTCATTACATCAGTGTTTCGTGAACCCAGCATTCATGGAACTAGGAGTTGTGTGAGACAGGACCCCCCCCCCCCCCCACCACCACCACCACCACACCCCCAAGCTGGACAAGATTCATGCATTTCAAGTCCTTCAAACCAGGACTGGCCATAAGAGTCAGCTTTAGAAATCTTCTGCACAGCTTGGTTCCCCAGGTTTTCAGGCAGGAAACTAAACGTTTAGTAGGACATGTCCACAGCTGTCGTCTTTTCAACCCCTGCTGCATCATTTAATGTCCGAGTATTAGAATTAGAGCACCTCGTTATCTTTCATGGTTGGACTGATATCTTTGTGGCATTCTCAGTAAAAAGTCCTGCAGTTAGGCATGTAATAAATCTTACAGTGGGTCACTCTCAGGATGTGAGAACCTCAAGCTCGCTCAGTGTGTGGAGTGTACCGGTTCTTTACGACGGCTGGAAGCTGCACCCCGAGAGTCAAACTAAACATTACAGTTTTTATGAACTCGTGGATATTTAGCAAAAAAAGTGATTTCTTTAAAATAAATCTGTTTTACAGAGTTGAAACTGTAGTGCATCTTCTCATCTCCACAGCTGGTGTTGAGCTGCAGGTTACAGGAGTCTAAACTCAGCCCAAAGACCAGTTTAGTGATTAGTTTTTAGTTTGGAACTAAAAAGGTAAAAACTGAATCAATCGTGCATTTATCTTATTGCTGGGAGCAAAGCCAGAAGTCTGCACCTCGAGTTTCTCCACAAATCAGGCGCCTGTGTGTGACAGTGGAATAACTTTAGTCCCATTTTGACCCAAACAGACATCTGAGTGGATCCATGACTTCAGACTTGCATTCATTTCCTGAGGACTTGTCAGCCACTGCCTAACCTTCGACATGTCTCCAGCTCATCGGTTCCTGATGTCCCATGGGGACGTGGTGTCTCTGTCTCCAACGCGTTACTGTGGAAACACAGAACCTGTACAATACGTCCATGGGGTTTGTTTGGGGGAACCGTTATAGTTCCTGGCAAAAAGCACAAACAACTTTTTTATTTATTTACAAAACAGGAGCCGTGCAAAAGAACTGAAAGTTTCACATTTATGATTGTCCATAAAAAAGATGAAACTTCTGAATTTTTTTTTTTTTTTTTGTGGATGTTTCAGCTCAGTTCAAAAATAGCAACAAAGTGCAAAAAATAAACAAATGTAAACAGTTTATATTTCTAGTCAGTTTAAAAAAGAATGAAGGCTTAATTGCATATTTTTTAAGCAGCACCTGCAGCGGAGGGAGGCATTCGGAGTGCTGGGGGGGTGGGGGGCATGGGGGTGGGGGTCTACATGGGCCTCCTACTGGATTTAGAAGAGATGGCTAGGAGTAAAAGCTGACATACATCCAAAAGCAACAGACCTCATTCTTGGGATGCAGTTGGGTTACGAGTTTCTTAGGTTCTGCCGTCCTGATGGGAAGGTCTGGTGCATCGTTCATCCCAGACTGACGTCTGCACAGATCAACCGCTTCCACCTAAACAACGGCTCAGCAGCGTCCAGCTTCCCTTGGACGGTCTCTGGCTACAAACACACATATAAATATAAAATAATGTGTTTTTATATTTAAATGTGGTCAAGAGTTGTTTCCATGTTGCTGAATCTTGACTGATGTGTCTCCTTTGCCCCAGGACGGCACCGTCAGGACCATCTCGGGTCCTCCAGACCTCACTCAGTTACCCAGATACCAAGACTGGAACAGAGACAGAAACACATGAAAATGTTTTGACATTTATTTCCAAGAACAAAACTTCTAATAAAACAACCAGTGTGGGGTTTGGAAGAACTTTGTCCTGTAAGGCAAACTTAAGTTTACAAAAGCTTAAAACTCTAAACTCTTCATCTAAAATAATAACTCAGGTCTTCTGAACGGATTCTTTAGGTCCAGAGGACCTGATTTAATTTTTTTAGATTTTTTTTTACCTGGATTAATGAGCATGCATCAAGATATCTAAACTCTTCAGGTTTTGTTTGTTGTTTTTTAATCGGAAGCTCTCTGGATTGGAAGTTAAATGTCTTCATCTACAGAATTCCAGCTGTTTTTTAAAGGATACTTTATTGGGGGGGTACCATGTCTTGGATGGTTGAGAATCTACACCAGCACACAGTTCCCTGTGGTTAGAGCTCCATCCAACAAAGAAAAAAAAACATATTTGAACGCCATCCAGAACCACTGCTGTTCAAATGGATTGAGGCAAAGGGAAAAACAGTTCCATGGACCGACGGATCTGAGATTCTGTTTGGAAACCACAGAAGTCATGTCCTCCGTGGTAAAGGGAAGGACCATCTGGTCTATTAACAGCACACAGTTTAAAAGTATGGCTCGCTGATAGTATGGGGATGCATTAGTGCCTCCTACAACATATTTACCACCAAAGAGGAAGAGAATAACAATAACCTTGAAATTTGGAAGTTTTAGGCTCATTCAGCTGAGGCTCCTGTAATGTGTGCCTCCAGAGCAGAGTGATAGAGGAGAGCGGCATCAAGACTCAAACATGAAATAACAAATGAACTATGTTACAGCATGTCCTATTGAACACAGCTTTCCACCGAGCAGGCAGTCATGATTACAATAATGACCAAAATAATCATGATTGTATTTTTTCTCCATATCGAGCAGTCCTAAGATGATCTTGGACTAAGACAAATTTGGTAAAGTGCGGCGGGTGATATGCATTCCTTTAATTAATGACAGAGTTGACATCTCAGAGTCAGCAGAATAAAAACTAGGTGAGAAAGAGAGAACTGATTAGTTTTCTAAATCTGTCCAGGTTTTAGGATGAGCATCATAAAATGAGCAGGTTAAATGGTACGTACTGACCTGGGCTTGGTAGAGTCCACCTGGGTCCCGAGGAGTCACTCCAACAAAGGAGGACTGACTGGTAGGGGGCGTCCCAGGAGCAGAGTATGCTGTTGGTATTAAATGTAAACAGATGTTATCCACCAATATGGCAGCTCTCACAACTCAAGGTCAGTCAGTGCAGCAACTTTCAAAACTTTCACAAAGGAGCCACGTGTTTGAATAAAATGAGAGCAGGCTTTTGTTAAGACTGGTGCAAAACTGAACAGCCCTGTTCCACTGGCTCCACTTTGTCCTGGTTCAGTCTCTCCACTGGGTGGTCCCACCCACCTCAAGCTCTGGTCCTAGAACCTACCGGGTCGAGGTTCCAAACAAGTTGAGCTCAGTTGAACCTAGACTGCAGGACATAGATTGGTCCAGGAAAGGTGTCAATCATGAGAGCGTCCCCATCACCAGAATCAAACCACCATTTTTAAAAGCTCTGCAGTGTCCACTAAACACGTCTGTGCTTTTTCACTGAACACAGAATTCAGACGAAGCTAGACCAACGGGAATCAATTCATGGGCTTATGGGCTCAAACCGGTGGCGGAAAGGTGGCCTTGATGCCTCCACAACATTTTTTGGAAATAAAGGCAGGGGGTAGTGAATGTTCAGTGACTTTATTTCCACTGTTGCCCTTGTGCTTGCTCAGGATGGGAAACTGTGATGAAGTGAAGATTCAACACAATCTACAGGCAACATTTACTAACTGGCTTTTGTAACATGTGAATGTTTCTGTCCAGTGCCCTGAGAAGACTTCTGTTGTGACATGGTGCTATGTAAATTAAATGAACTGAATTGAATTTATTTCTCCTTTATTGTCATATCTATGTGTTTTATTCAATGGTATGTTTTCCAAGTTAGTTTAGATTCTTACCCATTTGTTTTTCGGTATTTTATATTAAAATCACTCCTTGTGTAGTCCATGTTTCAGTCTTTCCAGTGTCATGTTCATTCTGCCCTCAGTCAGCTCTCAGTGTTCAGTCAGCCTTCCACTCACACCTGTTCCTAGTCAATAATTATCCAGTTGCTGCCACACTCCACCCACCCTCTGTTCTATTTAAACGGTCTCTTGACACCATCTCACCAGCGGCTCATTATACTGGTTTAACCTTATGTCTTCGTCCTCCTTGTGCTCCTCTCGTGTTTCCCTAGTGTTGTCTTCTGTTGCAAGTTTTTGCCATCACGTCAGCTTTTAATACGTTCGTTAATAAATACATTTTTAGCTAAACCTCTGAGCTCCCAGTGTTTGCCTCCATTTGGGTCCAACACTGCACAGACAGTGACATTTATTTATTTGTTGGCGAGTTTCAAGCGGCTGCACTAAGATGACCTGCCTACAATGAGGCAACATTTAGAGACTGCGTAGAACCAAGTTAGGACAAATCAGAGTGAAGTGAGTCATGCTGAAATGAGACGATGCAATAATGACAGGAGGTTCTTGAATTTGTTCATATCCTCCATTTAGTTTGTCTTATTCTAATCTTATTTATACAGAAACACACTTATTCTGTGTACATGTACTATATGTGCATACAGTGAGTCTGTAACTACTTACTGGGTGATGTGGGGGAATTTGCCCCTCCTTCAGATGAGGAGGTGGAGGCCTTTGACTCTATGGGAGCAGATGGTCTAGGGAGGGGGGGTGCTGGTCCATGGGGTCCCAACAATTGAGAGGTGATGTAATGACTGGGCATTTTCACTTGAGTGCTGCCGTTGAGCTGGAAACATTCATAGAAACTTTAGTTACAGTTACAGTTTTCACAGGCAGGAGTGTGTATTGAAAATTAGGAGTGTGTATGCACAGGCAGGAGCGTGTATTCACAAGTGGAAGTGTGTACTGAAATCTAGGAATGTGTATTCACAGGCAGAAATATTGAAAGGTAGGAGTTTGTATTCACATGCAGAAGTGTGTATTCACAGGCAGAAATATGTATTGAAAGGTAGGAGTGTGCATTGAAAGGTAGGAGTGTGTATTGAAAGGCAGGAGTGTGTATTCACAGGCAGGAATGTGTATTCACAGGCAGCAGTGTGTATTAACAGGCAGAAGTGTGTATTCACAGGCAGGAGTGTGTATTCACAGGCAGGAGTGTGTACTAACAGGCAGAAGTGTGTATTCACAGGCAGGAGTGTGTATTCACAGGCAGAAGTGTGTATTCACAGGCAGGGGCGTGGCACTTGGTGCGCTCTTCTTCTCTTTCCTTTCTAAAACAAATAATAGATTTTTCATTTCCTCTTCAACGTTCTCACTCTCTTTCAGACTTTGTTTTTCTTTTCCATCTCTGACTCTTCTGTCTGAAAAATTTTGACTCCTCGGCTCCGTCCACCTCTGGGTCCGCATCTCCTTTCCTCAAACAGAAGCTGCAGCTCTTCAGTCAAAAACTGCCTCTTTTTTTGACTCAAACACACTAAAACTGACTAAACTAAACACTAAACACACTGAACTACACCCTAACTATAAAATCCAAACATCCTAAATACCACAAATCTCTCAAACCTCATGACTCACTCCCACTCTCGCTGTGTCTCTATTGCTGCTGAACTTCCTTGAGTTTCTCTTTTTCCTTCTTCCTGTAGATTTTTCAATGATTAACAAATAACTCTGAGATTCAGTAAAGGGGGGGGGGGGGGGGTTGTTGTTATTTGTACGGTAAGGGATGGGGTGTTTTCTTTGCAACTGCCTCTGTTATTTGGCAATAGGAATTTGGCGGTCAGATCCTTGGTGTGATGTCACACCTTATACAGGTATATGGAATTGAAGGGGCTGTTTCCAAAGCTGTGCCTAAACACCTTGAAATTGTCACAGAAACTATGTTTTTCAAACTAGTGTGCATTACATTTCAACATTTGCCAAATAACATAGGTATTTATTTGTCATGTCTCTATTATATTTAGCTAGATACATAATATGAAAAAATGGTGGGTGTTGGAATTTTAAAAAGACTCATAGTGAGTTCAAGGAGTTTGACAGACTGGTTTACTTACGGAGCTGGGGGACTGATTTGAAGGGTCACAGGGTAGTGAGACCAGATCCTTCAGGGGATCCTGAGCCAGGTGAGGAGGATAGCGGATTGCTCCATGAGAAAAGTAGGAAGAGGAAGAAAAGTGAAGCGATGAGGAGGGATGAGAACTCAGAGAGAGACCTGAGAAGAGAAAAATAAAAGTTTGCTTTCTGATAAAGAAAATGTGTGTTGCGGGGGGTTGGAGTGTGTAGTACGGACCACTGTGCACAGCTATGACTGGACGGTGGTGCTGAGTTAAGGAGCCCATTCTTGGGGAGTCCTCCTGGGGGGAGGGGCTGTCCATCTCCACTTTCTTGACTGGGGGAGACAAACCTGAAATACAAATACACAAACAAACTTTGCAATGGTGAACTCTGCCCACAAATGTACTAAAACTTCTTGTTTTGAACTTAACATACTCATCTGAACTGAGACGGCGCTGAAAATTTGTTAAAAGCTAAAGCTTTTAATGAAGCTCATGAGCAATGCATTAATTGTTCATGTTCACAATGTGTCTATAAATGCTCCCTATGATCCTATTACTAACATTTAAACACTAAAATAAGGTACAGTTAACATCCTGTGAGGAACTCTAGGACTTTTTTTGTGTCCTGAAACCAATTTAAACCATAGAAATAGGTAAACTGTAGCTAAAAGGAATAAAACAAATGCTAAAGCTAAAATCAGCCAAACAGTAGCTAAAACTGTTTAAAACATATATAAACATAAAACAGAGCCACTTTCAAAGAACAGTTTTTGAAGGATTTGAAGACATCTCAATGTTTCTCTATGGGGAACATATTTGAAAATAAATATAAATATTTAGAAAAATGTAAAAATCTATAAGTCACAGGGTGAGCAAGTAGAGTACTTCAGACAGTACATATACTGTAGTACACAATACTGTCAGAGGGTCATGCCTCAGTCACAGGGAGAATCTAGAAAATCATTATCTTCTGTGAAAACAGTGAATGCTGAGTGCAAAAAAACTTTTCTGAAGTTTGCTGAAGAAGCTGAAACTGAGTTGTTGAAGCTAAAAGAGCCTCACGTAAAAGAGAGGCAGCAGATTTCTGACTGAAAATCAGTGTAAAGACAAAGTGTGACGTGTACAGACTCAAACATTCAGATTAATGCACGTGTGCATGTATATGTTCCTGTGCACCTTTCCTTCATACATCCTGACAAACATGGAACTGAGAACACGTGACTCACCTGTAAATACATGGAGAAATGTCCTGCATGTGGAATTGTCCACTATGCATGGTCAGAAATTATATCTAGATGCAGCAAATTGAGGAATTTAATGGAATGTGAGTCAGAGACATTACTAAATAAGTAGTAGGATGTTAAAACATGCTTGCCACGCAAAGTGCTGTGATTGTGAGTGCAAAGATGTGGTTGTCATTGAATAAAGTGGGGGGGGGGGGTGCTGATCAGCGGTCAGAGTGCATTTGATTCTGAGACTTTTCCAACTTTATTCATGTTTAATAAGCTCATTACTGTAAACACAGAGACACTCTGGAGCTTGGTAAAAACTAAGATGTTTATTTATTAAATAGTTAAGAAACGAGTCACTGCACATCAATGGAGCGGTGCCATAAGGGAAGTTAATATAAAGTATCTGGGCATCCTACTGATGAGCTGTCCTCTCCAGGATAGGAGTGATGTTCTGTCTCAAGTGGAGGAATTCAATTATCAAAGGGTTTTGTTCACAGTGAGGGAGGAATAGAGTGTGAGAACAGTCAGATCCGTGCACCTTCTGCAGTAATGTGGACTCTGTGCTGGTCCATTGTGGGGAAAAGGGAGCTGAGCTGCAAGAAGCTCTGTTTACTGGTCTGTCTACGTTCCTACCCTCACCTATGTTCAGGGGGAACTCTAGGTAGTGAATGAAAGAACGAGATCGTCGATCCAGGAGGTCTAAATGAGTTTTCTCTGTAGGGTAACTGGACTCACCCTTAGAGATAGGATGAGAAGTTCAGTTATCCAGGAGAGACTTGGAATAGAGCTGCTGCTCTTCCGCTTCGAGATGAGCCATTTGAGGTGGTCCAGACATCTGGCAAGAATGATCCTATGGTGCCTCCCTAGGGAGGTTTTCTGGGCATGTCTGACTGGGGGGGGGGGGGGGGGGGGGGGGGGGGGGGGGGGGGGCTCGAGGTGTGGAGCAATGATCTCGTTCTTTCAGTCACTACCCAGAGTTCCTTCTGAACATAGGTGAGGGTAGGAACGTAGACAGACCAGTAAACAGAGGTTCTCCTTACAGCTCAGCTTCCTTTTCACCACAACAGACCGGCACAGAGTCCACAATGCTGCAGAACACATTGGAGGGACTATGTCTCTCAGCTGCTCTGGGGACACCTTGGAGTCCTCCCAGAAGAGCTGGAAGAGGTGGCTGTGGGAAGAGATGTCTGGACCTCCCTGCTCAAGCTGCTGCCCTTGAGACCTGAGTCCAGAACAAGATGATGGATGGATGGCTGAATGGCTGGATGGCTAGATGGATGGATTGCTGTATTGATGGATGGAATGGATGATGGATGATGGATGGCTGGCTAGCTGGCTGGCTGGCTGGCTGGATGGATGGATGGATGGGTGGATGGATGGGTGGATGGATGGATGGATGGATGGATGGATGGATTGATGGATTGATGAACTGATGGATTGATGGATTGAATGATGGATGGATGCTGGATGGATGGATGGATGGATGGCCTGTATGCGATGGTCTGTTACCTCCTTCTATGTCATCAGTCCAGTTTCTTGAGCTGCTTGCAGGAGATGAAGGTGAGTGGTAATACTCTCCTCCAGGACTGTCAGCATCCTCCTCTATGGAGCCAGATTTAAGACGTTTACTTCTGCAGACACAGACACCAAAACTGTTGTTCCAAAATGAAACTGTAGTGAATCTGAAAGAGTAAATGTTCAAGTGATCAGGGCTGGTGAGACAAGTGCTGGTCACTGGAAGTTCTCCACATTTCAACAAGAACTTTTTTTTAAAATCAGATTGCATACTAGCTAATGAGTACTTCACAAGTACTTCATTAGACTTACATTTTGGTTCCATTTAAAGTAAAATGAGATCGTCTTTTAATTAAACATTAAAAAGTTGGTTGTTTATTAGCATTTCATCTCAAGAAAACGTAAGTCGTCGATGGATTTAATTGTTTTCAGATAGTGTAGTCAGGCGGCACAGTGGCTCAGTTAATGGAGTTGTTGCCTCTCGGTGAGAGGGTCACTGGATCAAATCCTGGCTGGGGGCCTTTCTGGATGGAGTTTGCATTTTCTCTCCGTGCATGCGTGGGTTTTCTCCAGGTACTCCAGTTTCCTCCCACAGACCAAAAACATGCATATTGGTCTGACTGGTAACTCTAAATTGTCCCTAGGTGTGAGTGAGAGAAAGTGAATGGTTGTTTGTCTCTTTTGTTTTTATGTTCAAGGTGACTTTATTGTCATTTGCATCATGTGGTACATGAGGTGGAACAAAATTGCGTACTCAAGGTCCCAGTTACACAAAAAAATAGCAAAAATATAAAGTATAAAAAGAAACAGTATACAAGGATCTAAGATATACACTCAACAATAATAATGTAATATAATATGATGCATTAAACAGCAGCCTGAGTGTGTCCCTTTTATGTGTCCCTGTGATGGACTGAAGACCTGTCCAGGGTGTCCCTCGCCTCTCACACAGTGACTGCTGGATATGGACACCAATGACCCCTTGTGACCCAAAAAGGAAGAAACAGTTAAAGATAATGGATGGATGGATCATGGATAATGCATTCAGCTAAAGAAACACAAATTCATCCATCCATCCATTATCTTTAGTCGCTTCTTCCTTTTTGGGTCGCGGGTCATTGGTGCAAATCAAGTAAAAAAATTCTAGTGTAAGCATCCACCCAAAAAAACAAACTTAAAAAAACTGAATATAATTTAATCTGCTGGAATAAGCTTTAAAAATAAAGATATATAGATTTTCAAAAATTATTAATATTAATGATTACAATGGAATTTAAAACTGGAAATTTGAGGCTGTACCCACGTTTTCTGTCAGAGGTGAGAAATGTGCAGGTGTCAAAATATTTCTCTAGAGTTGCAGACAAGAGGTTGAGGTGATTGAAACTAAACTAGGGTGGGTCTGAGATGTTGGCAACAAAGCTAAGAGTATGAGACCCTCAGAACAAACCTGAGACTCCAGCCTCAACAGTCTCAGCTCGGTGAGGCGCTGGTTTAAGTATGTAGCATTAGTACTGACTAATGCTACATCAGACCATTTGGCGCATACTGTATGGTGTTAGACCGACATCTCTACTGTGGATTTCTCTCAGTAATCTGCTTCTTATTTCAGAGCAGATCCCAATTTTTCCGATGATCGTAACATTTTGGCTCATCCTGCTAACGTGTTAGGGTAAAATTAATAAATACAGCAGGTTGTTCACTTCCTGACACGGGGAAATACAAGGCAGTCGATGTTGAGTTTGACAACGAGTGTTTAGTAGAACATACCCGCTGGACGAAGTGCTGGCCAGTGACCGCTTCAGGCTGACCGGCTGGTTGATGGACTGGTTGAGGTCGTAGGACAGGTGACCCTGGAGATCCCCCATGGAGAAACCAGGTACAACTCCAGTTACAACGGGGACTAAATGTGGAGAGTACACACTGTTAAAACAGCAGGAAACAAATAATTTCATCACATCCAAAACTGCTCAGCTGAAACTCTGAGGACTTCCACCAAACTGAAACTTTTAAATCTGATACATTCAGGGCTTGGCATGTAGTACACACCACCTGTCACACCAGAGTTAGGAGCATCTTACGCTGAGACATCGAGTTGTTTGGTTTATGTTATGAAATTTTATAACGAGAACAGGAATAAAGGACTACAGGAAAGTCCCTGTTGTTAAGACTTCAAGTCAAAAGTTGACAGTATTTTCTGTGTAGGAATGACTGCTGTTAAAGTAAGCTATAGTAACACTTTTTGCCCCACTCCCCTCAGGAAGGAGGTTAAGGAGCATTAAGTGTAGAACCCCTAGACTGAGGAACAGCTTCTACCCTGAGGCTGTTAGACTCATGAATCTCTAACTATAATAATCACTGTGAAAAATCACATCATGTTGCTGCTGATCTGTTTCAATGTTGATGTGTTCATGCGTGCACATCTGCTCACAGACTCATGTTCATGTTTGTGCTGATGTTCAATGTTTTATGTTATGAGTGCTTAGTGTATATTTAGTTGATGTTTTTCTTAGTTCATATCTTAGATGTTATTACTGTTTTTCTTGTACATTTTATTGTTGGATGTAACTGGGACCTTGTGTACATAATTTCGCTCCACCACATGTACCACATGAGGTGCGAATGACAATAAAGAAACTCTGACTCTGACTCTGACCATGTTAAAGTCACGATATGTCAGCAAAGTAACGATTTTGTTTTTGTTTGATAAAAATGGTAACATACTTTTCAGTTTGACTGTAAATCTGTGTACAACTGCACCATGTCTGCTCTAAATGTGCAAAGATAATGATGATTTTCAGCAGAAAGGCTGTAAAATGACAGTATAGTTACAGTAAAATGAATGAAGGACACACCTGCAATTTATTTTAGAGTCCTTTTAGAAAACTATAAGAATTTCCCGTGATATGGGACAGGTTAATGGTTTAAGATGTGCAGAAGGAATAATTTTTAAAAGCAGATACAGAGGCCTTATTTTTATTTGTGTATTATATGTATAAATCTCTGTCTAATAACCTGAAGGACCTTATTTTTAGATTTACAGTGACACACACAGAGAAAGTTCAGTAAACTGCTAATGTTTTTCCTGTAAACATTTTATTATAAACAGAAACAGGTTGAAAGCACCAACGTCAAATTATCATAAACTGACTGATGCAACAGAATAACAACGTTTCATCAGAAATGAGTGTGACTCCAACCCAGGTTGGAGAAAGGTTAGAGCTGAAGTCAAATCAACTTACTTCTGGAAACCTGGACCAGCTCGGCAACACTAAAAACTCCTGAAGCCACAAAACTCTCCTGGAACTCTGGACCATCTGCAGAAACATAGCAGGGGACATAGACAGTGGGACACACGTGGGCGTCCAGATCAAATATGTTCATTCATGACATTACAGCTAAATGAAGTTTATCCATAGATATAGATATTATGAGACATAGTGCATATGCACATAGAATGCTGGGTAGTAAAAAGATCTGCTACCTATGGCGCCCGTCCGACTGTCCTCCTGATCAGAACCCACTCCAGCACGACTGGGGCTACTGGTCTGCTCTGCCTCTGTAGACCAAGACAGAGAAAGAACAACCTTGACTTTAGCTAATAAAACAGAAAAGGCTAAAGGAAACAAGACCAGGAGTGTTCGTCTCATGTTCCTACAAACACATTTAGCTGTTTTAGACAGAAATGTTGTCACTTCCTGTCATTTCAAAGCAGACGGACAGGTTTTTATGATCTGTTCAGTTAAAAACATTTCAAAGAAATTTATATATTCCAGATTTGTTGCATCCTCATGCTTCTGTCAGAGGAATGAGGTCAACAGCTCAACTCCTTTTGGACATCTGGTCATTGTTACTTTTTAAGAGTTATCAGAACCTCTGAGTTCCCAGAGCCTTTTGAGACAAATGTCAAAAGACTTCAGATGAAAAACCAATCTGCAGGGACTGACTGAAGGAGGTCTTGCCATCAGTCCCTCTGAGAAGCCGGGTGCTATATTTAATAAGTTTTTAGTACCAGTACTCAACAGGAGCAAAAACAAAAATGTCCACCTTCCCTTTTAACAGAGCGGGATAAACATCTATTGCAGTTTTTCTGTCTTAAGATCACACATGTTCTTATCCAAAGGCAGCAAGCTTGTATTGTTGAAAGTTTTTTATAAAGTACAACGAGTGTGTGGTAAAGAACCAGGCAGCACAGCCCTAACGTTAAAGAATACCTTTTTCTTGTACGTAGAAGGCGAGGTAGAGGTCGAGCTCTTTGACGGAAACAGAGATGTGGTGTGGCTGGACACAAAGGACAGGATTGGAGCATTGGCCTCCTTTCACCAGTCGCTCCCCATCGGTGCTTTCTAAAGGAATGCCTTTAAAAAGGATGACCATCACCAAATCTAACCTCCACACCTGGAGAAAAACACAAAGCAAGCGCTATGACAAAAGACAGTGTGCGACTTTGTTACATGTACGAACATTCACACTTTTATTGACTGTTTTACTGACAGTAAACAGTGGCTTCACCAAAATGTTTTGTTTTTAAATGAAGGCAAGACCGAGTGTATCTTCTCTGGCGATGATGCTGCCTGTAACTTTGGTGCTTTGACATCCAACTTAATGTTTGACAAGGATTTAAAGTTTGACAAACATATAGCTTTTGTAGTCAAGTCCAGCTTTTATCAGTTAAGTGTTTTAATCAAGGTCAAGCCTTTTTTAAATTGTCCGGACCTGGAAAAGGCCATTCATGCTTTTATCCGCTCAAGGCTCGACTACTGCAATGCTCTGAATGTAAGAATCTCCCAAACCTCCATCAGACATCTTCAAATGCACCAAAATGCTGGGGCCCGTCTTTTAACCAACACCCCCGACGTGAGCACATCACCCCTGTTTTATTTGCTATTCATTAATATTATTTATATTATTTATTAACCTTTATTTAACCAGGCTAATCCCATTTAGATCACAGATCTCTTTTGCAAGAGAGGCCTGAGCCTGAAGGCAGCCTAACATGCATGTTTTTGATCTGTGGGAGGAAACTGGAGTACCCAGAGAAAATCCACAAGAAGAACATGCAAACTCCACACAGAAAGACCCCAGGTCCAACCAGGGATTGTTGTGAGGCAACAGTGCTAAACACTAGCTGTCGTGTTGCCATTGAGCATTCATTATTATTCATTATTTTCTCTTGGTTAGAAAATGTACCAAAACATACACAGACAATATAAAATGTACCAAAACATTAAAAAAATCCAAAAACATGCTAACACATTAGATTTGAATGTTTTAGAATATTTTATAAGGTATGTGAATGTTTTGTACATTTTATAAAGTATGTCATTGTTTTTGTACATTTTACAACAATTGTAAATACTTTAATACATTCTATAACATGCATTATTTTTTAGTGTTTCATAATGAGCGTGATTGTTTTAGTACACTTTATACTTTATGTAAATGTTTTTGAACATTTTATAATGTATGTAAATGTTATTTTACATTTTATAATATGTGTGAATGTTTTTGTACGTTTTATAATGTCTGTAAATGTTCTGTACATTTTATACAGTATGTGAATGTTTTTGTACATTTTAAATTGTCTGTAAATGTTTTTGTGCATTTTATAAAGAGTGTGAGTGTTTTTGTACATTTTATAACGTATGTGAATATTTTTGTACATTATACAATGTCTAAATGTTTTGTACATTTTATACAGTATGTGAATGTTTTTGTACATTTTAAATTGTCTGTAAATGTTTTTGTGCCTTTTATAGAGTGTGAGTGTTTCTGTACATTTTATAAAGTGTGTGAGTGTTTTTGTACATTTCATAAAGTGCGTTAATGTTTTTTGTTCATTTTAAAAATTGTGTTGTTTTTGTACATTTTATAGTGTGTTAATGTTTTTGTACATTTTATAAAGTACGTTAACGTTTTTGTACATTTTATAAAGTGCGTTAATGTTTTTGTACATTTTATAAAGTACGTTAACGTTTTTGTACATTTTATAAAGTGCGTGAATGTTTTTGGACATTTTAAAATGTCTATAAATGTTTTTGTACATTTTATAACATGCACAAATGTTTTGTACATTTTACAAGGTTTGTACATGTTTTAGTACATTTTATGGTAAACTGACTACTTATAAAGCTCCTTTCTATCTTATGGAGATACTCAAAGTTCTTTACACTACAATCTGTGTCCTCATTTACCCGTTCATACAGCACTCTACTAGAGCTGTACAAAGCTAATTGAACAAATCATTCTAAAGAGACTAATCAGTGCTTTAGATCACATTCATACACTGATGGGACACACATCGGAGGCAATGACGGGTTCAGTGTCTTGACCAGGGACACTTCAACATGTGACTGTTGGTGGATTCGAACCCTCAACTCTTGCACTGGAGGTCGACTGCTCTAACCACTCACCCACAGCCGCCCCTGTAAATGTTTATGTATGTTTTATAACATCTGTGAATGTTTTTGTACACTTTATACTGTATGTAAATGTTTTTGTACATTTTGAAAAGTGTCTGTAGATTTTTGTACATGAGCGTGAATGTTTTTGTACGTTTTATAACAAGCATTATTGTTATTGTAGATTTCATAATGAGCGGGAATATTTTTGTACATTTTATAACATCTGTAAATGTTTTTATATGTCTTAGAACAAGCGTGAAAATTTTTGTTCATTTTGTAATGTGTATGAATTAGAGCTCAACCGATATATTGGCAGGACCGATATTTTAGGCCGATACAGGAATTTGAGAATATATTGGTATTGGTGATAATTGTCCCATTATGCGCTGATATAAACACTGGGAACAAGTCGTGTCCTTACGTGCAAAAAGAGTAATTGTACAGTGTATCCAGCAGAAGGAGCATGCAGAATACTTTTAAGTCATGGCCATTCGCTTTAAGTTACACTTTCAGTTTCAACACAGCCAAAGCAGGGGGCACTACTATGTAGTGTATTTTGTTGAACAGAGCATGGTAAGTTTATTGTAACTGAGCTGTACAACTATAATAAATTATCTTCAATCCTCCAACCCGCTTGTCTTTAGCTATGTACTTCTCAAATTAGCAAGCTAATGTTTAGATAATCTAGCATAGGCTATTGCTCTGTAAAACTTTATCCAGAACAATGAATCTAACAGAGGCAAAATATATCAGTGTTAGTAATGTTATAATTGTCGTCCTCAATGAAATGCATTGTTCGACTGAATCTTTACTTCTCTGCAAAATAAAATAAAAAATGCTGCAGTCAATGCTAATTAAACTTTCACCATATGTGACTGACTGTTTAACAATGAACAAGAAAGGGTGTTTCTTTGTTTAATTTATATTAATGTAGCACACTTGATACCTTTATGGTGAATAGTGGAGGATATAAAATATGAACACACATTAGGAACACTGTTTCAAGACTTCAAGTGTTAAAACAGTAGCTGTTTACTTAAATTCTTGGAGGTGGACAAAACTCAAAAATGTTCAGCCATTATATTGGTTATCAGCATTAGCACACCCTCCCAAAATCGGTATCGGCAATATTCAAAATTTACATTTTGGCTGGGATCTAGTATGAATGTTTTGTGCATTTTATAACATCTATAAATGTTTTTGTACATTCTATAATGTGCGTGATGGTTCTAGTACATTTCACGACAAGCGTGAATGTTTTCAAATGTTTTATAATAAGCTTGAATGTTTTTGCACGTTTTATACTGTATGTACATGTTTTTGTATGCTTTATAAAGTGTGTGAACGTTTTTTCTACATTTTATAATGTGCATGAAATTTTGGTACATGTTATAGTGTGAGTGGTTTTGTGTCCTGAGATGGTTTGGAAAAGAAAAAAATAAATACAAATAAATCCAATAATCACTTTAATGTTTCTGTCGACACCTGACCTGTTTTAGACCTTAATTATTGGTATTTTTATACTCTGTTATTTTTTATATTCTCTGTTATTTTTTATACCTTGTGTGATTCCTTGCGTATGCTCCTTTGTACTGAAACTCTGGCACAACAATTTCCTGAGAGATCAATAAAGTTCTATCTTATCTTACCTTGTGAATTGGCTCTACATACATAACTGGATTTAAATGTATAATTGAAATGCACAAAGCTGCAGAAACCGGTGTGTTTACCTTGTCAGCCTGTCGGAGGCAGTCTATGCGTCTCATCTTGCCTTTCTGGTCAGGGTTAGATAAGACACAGCATGCAGCCTTCTTCCCAGTGATGGACAGGACAAAGTCCTCTCTGCATTCAGGTCGAATGTCTTTTCTCAACTTAGCCAAAAGACGGCTGGCCCACTTCTGCTTTATCTAGCAACACAATTATAATGTACAAACAAACATGTTGATTAAACATTACACTGGCTAAATTTGTCTAGTAGAATTTTTGATTTGTTGAAGAATCTGAATGGGTTAAAATTAATAAACCAGATATGTTAATTTAGTTTAGCTGATAAATTTAAGAATATTTTTTAAATTAACTATTAATAAGACAAGTTTAGTTTAGTGTCACCTCTGCCTTCTCTCCCAGTAGTTCATCTTTGACAGCTCGCTCCTCTTCTTTGGTCATCCTCTTCTCATGTTTTTTGAAGTACTTCCTCTTCCTGGCCTGGAGGTTGAACCATGTGTAGGCGAAAGCACGGACCTGGGGCAGCAGAGCCTCAATGAATGGATGGAACTCATCCTACACAAGAAACAAAATCACATCATTACACAAACCATCCACACACTTATCATAAACCACTGTTCAAGTGCATCTCAATAAATTAAAATATCATCAAAATCCAGTATTTCACTTCAACTAGGAAACCTTGATCTTATACATTGTAGAAATGTCACTCTTTGAATTGAGTGACTGAATTAAATTGCCTTTTTAATTATATTCCAGGGTTTTCTCCAAGTTTCTGGCCTTAGCGGGGAGGTTTCCACAAGCATTAAATAAAAAATATCATAAGTAAATAAAATAAATAGTATGTTTAAACACATAAAAAATATAATTAAATAGTTTAATAACTTGACAGATTTTTTTTAATCAAAAGTGCAGATTTCCTCACTGCAGTGTTTCTTTGGGGCTTCTCAAAAACATTTTGTTGTTTTTGAGCAGGCTGTCACAGTTGAATTTAATCTAATAAAAGACCAAATATACAAACTAAATTACAGTTTTTGCACTGATCCTGTCAATTTTGTGTGTCTAGTTTGCCTGTATTGTTACCCATCATGCACTTTTTATTGTTCAAGTAGTTTTGGCAACGAGGAAGTCCATAGACATAACTCCCATGTGAGTGTTCACTGACCAAAATGTGATTACAGTAATAAATCTCATAATGCTGAACACTGAAAGTGTGTTTTTGACTTCATATTACTTGGACATTTTCAAAAGGGTGATATTTTAAAAATAATTATAGCTCTGGTAGTCTCTGCTCAGCACAAAATAACTGGAAATGACCAGTTTTACTTGCTATACTGACAGATTTCTCTCTTTGAATGACCATTTCATTCAAAGACATTATATTTTGAAGACTTTAGCTCTCAGATACCCAAACCTCTACTCCAAGTCTCTCCTGCTAATTGAACTTCTCAGCCTATCTCTAAGGGAGAGTCCAGCTTCCCTGCAGAGAAAACTTATTTAGACCACCTGGATCCATGATCTGGTTCTTTCAGTCAGTACCTGCAGCCATGCAGCTTGAGAAATGTGTTATTTAAAAAGAATCATTCTCCATAGAATTTTCCATCCAATCTTTATTTAGACAGGTTAATCCCATTGAGCCTCGAGGACTCATTTACAAGAGAGACCTGATTTTAACAAAGAATGATGACGCCAGCGGACAACAATAGACAATCATCTAAAGGATGCGTACAAATTGAGAATAACACGTGAAAATAAAATGGTATTAAAAAAATGTAACAAAAAAACAGCTAGGTTGTAAGGCGATGTAGAAAACTAAAAACAGGAACATGTCTGTATTGGTTTTTTCCCATGAACTTAGGTCAAGGTCGAGAACTTCAGGTAGCTTCAGCTTCAGAGTAAGATTGGATGTCTAATGCAGCACTGGGGACTTGGCAAGTTGCAAATAGAAGAAGACAGAAAAGGTAATGTAGGTCAGAGCATCCCTGATGTATCTTTACATTTCTGTGCCGATGACACAGTTGTTTATTGTCGAGCTAAAACAGTTGCTAAAGTTTTCCAGCTTTCGACATCATCCAGTCTGATTTGTTCCATCTCAAACTTGTCTTAAATGCTGATAAAACCAAAGGGATGTTTTCAAACAGGAAGTCGGTCCCAGCAGTTCTTCCTTTGATTTTATCCTCAAATGGTGTCTCTATTGAGTTTGTTGATTGCTACAAATATTTGGGTATCTTGATCAATTCACATCTCTCGTTTAAGCTCCATGTGGAAAACCTAGTAAAGAAACTGAAGGTTAAACTGGGTTTCTTTTTCAGAAACAGATCCTGTCTAACTCTGAATGCTAGGAAACGTCTTGTATCTGTGACTTTCCTTCCCTCCATTGATTACGGTGACATTATTTACATGAACGCTCCTACAAGAACCCTGCAGATGTTGGATGCTGTCTATCATGGTGCACTAAGATTCATAACTGGCTGTGATTATCGTACCCACCACTGCACCCTGTATTCACTGGTTAACTGGTCATCATTAACTTCACGCAGACTCTCTCACTGGTACATTTTCATCTTTAAATCACTTCTTGGTCTGCTGCCTTCATACATCTCCTCCTACATGTCTCTGCGTGAGTGCAGCTACAGCGTGCGCTCTCAGGACATTATTACCTGCAGTGTTCCCTCAGTACAGACTGAACTTGGCAAAAGGGCCTTCTCCTACTTCGCTCCTGTTTCCTGGAATATCTTGCAAAAATATCTGAAGCTCTCAACTTTGACCTCTCTAAGTGGCTTCAAACATCTGCTAAGTTCATGGCAAAAACCAAACAACAGACAGGTTCCTGTTTTTAGTTTTCTACATCATTTTACAACCTAGCTGTTTTTTTTTTAAATTCCATTTTCTTTCACTTGTTCTTTTCAGTTTGTATGCTTTCTTTTATAATTGTCTACTGTAGTATTTGTTGTCCACTGTTGTCATCACTCTTTGCTAAAATCAGGTCTCTCTTGTAAATGAGTCCCTGAGGCTCAATGGGATTAACCTGAATAAATAATGGTTGAACAAATTAATCTACATTTCTGAAGAAATCTTGAAGGACGACAATGCAGCTATTGTCCCTAATTCCAAAATCACCCTCCTTTTCTAAAATCCAACAGCAGTTCAGTTGGGACTTTATCATAATCATGATCATCATCATCATCATTATTATTATTATTGCTGTAATGATCTAAGATGACAAAGTGCCAACATCTTGATGAATAAACTGTAGAAGAAGGTCAACAGGTAACCACACACCTGTGTCCCTCACTTCCTGACACCACCTTTAATAAGACAGGCCGACAGAGTGAAAAGTGAGCTTCAACCATCACTGTGTGGAAAATTTTAGGATATATGATGCTGCAAGTAACAGAAGCACCAAGCCATCACAGATGAACGTTCTTCAGAGCTTTATAGAGGACATATCACCAGGTTAAAAAAAGCCTTTAAAAAATACTGAGCTCAGATCCAGTGGAAGTCAATGGGCACTGGGTGAGCAGACAACGTTTGGATGCATAAACCATATCAGAAGTGTAAAAAAAAGTTTTAAAAGTTTAAACAGCTCCAAAGTTAGAGTGACATCATCAGACTAAAACGTTCTGTGGTGAAATCCTCCATGTTAACTTGTAATTATATAAAAACTGTTAAACAGCAGTTCAGTCGTGGAAAGTCCAACTTCCTGTGACCTGTTTAAACTCTGAATGATGGCTCTGCTGTGAAGTCTGAGCTGGAGATCCAAACAAGACTGGGCTTACTCATTTCATTTTTTAATTTGAACCATATGATGTGCCGCCACCAAGAGTCAGAGCTCATCTTGGCTGAGCTGCACAATCTGATGTTTCATTTTTTAACAAGTTTTCCCAAGTTGATGGAATAAGAGTGAATCTTGAACTGGGATAGGGGTGTCCCGATACTAGTAATTTACAAGTACTTCAGTTTGAGTACTTGCCAATACCGCGTAGTTAATGAGTTATTAGTTAAACATTACACAGAGACTTTAGAAACACATTTCTCTTATTAAGAACACAGCCAACAATCTACTGTCTTAACATTAACTGCGTTTGTTTTAAAATGTCTCCAAACTGTGGACTTTTTTTTGTCGTCAGTTACTTGCAAAGTAGAAGAGGAAATTACATCGCCAAGCATAAAAGTGGTATCGGTCCAAAGTATCGGGGTATTTTTTATGACTATCGGGACGCCACTAATGAAAACAGAAGAATAGCATTCATCCTTTGGCATGACACAGTTAGTATCATCCACTGCCAGAAAATAATGGTGGACAATATCGATTTTGCCTGAGCCTGTTTTTTGGCAAAATATGTCATAAACCACAAGATGGATTTTAGTGAAAATTGCAAAAAGAAATTATTGGATGTAGATTTACACCTGAGCAGTGGGGAACCCTCAGGGTCTTCAAAGCCTCCAGATAAGTCCTAATAATTTACCACATATGAAACATGACATTTAGGAATTGTATTTACTATGTACTTTAAATAAAGTAAATATTTTCTATGTATACTGATGCTGCTCAATAATCCAGGTAGATAAATCTAACAAGGTTGGGTCAGGTCCTCTGGATGGATTCTTCTTTGTTCAAAAAGCGTTCAATACAAAAATTGAAATTCTTCTTTGTTGAAACATGAACAAGGAGGAGGAAGAAAAAAGAGTCTTGACATCCTTTTCAGAGACACCACCAAGTCATTGGTTCAGGTATGTTGACGACACCTGGGTTAAAATTAAATCTCAGGAAGTCCAACATTTTACTGACCACATCAACTCTGTGGATAAATACATCAAGTTCACACGAGAAGATGTAAAAAATGGCAGGTTGGCTTTCTTGGACTGTGAGGTCTCAGTCTCTGATAGAGGACATTTGCAAAC